GTGGTCTAGATGTTGATGATATAAATGCAGTACAATATCTATATGGAAGAAAAAACAAATATGATTCAATCCCAAAGTCTACCACCGCATCAGCAATACCAAAAACAACAACAACTATAAGATCTACAACTCGTAAGCAGCCGATCCTCAAAAATTTGTGTGATATTATTCCAGATTTTATGTTTTTAGCTATTGCTCCAGAGTTTTCAAATTACCGATTATATATTGCACATGATATGTTTATATGGAAACTAGACTTAAACGAAATGATTATCCCATCTCAGCCTGAACTTCTTGTCGATTATGTTCCTACAGAATTACGTCAATACACTTTACAACATATGTTCCAATCAACAAACGGTGACTTGATTACCATTGTGTCTCCAAACAAATATTTCTCAGCATCATTCCCTACCATTAAATTTCTTGATAATTTTTCAATTGATATACCCGATAGGGCTCGAATCAATGCTATTTTTCAATCAAACGCAGGACGGTCCTATACCTTTTATAATAATATGTCATATATAGAATTTTCTAACGATTTTACTGATGTGTTGAACAGAGGACGGATAAGAGACATATTTCCTGGGTTACCTGAAGATATTTCTCTCGCATTTCGATGGATTGATGGCCATATTTACTTTTTCCGTCACGCAACTTACTATAAATTTAATGAATTTACAAGAAAAGTTGTTGCGACCGGACCATTTCATTGGACTCTATTTGGAGTACCATGCCCCAGCGAGGATTTGTTACATCAACTAAAAACTCTGTTATCTAAACTTGTATCTGTATATCATTAAAAAAAATACATTTTTCAGAAAGCTATGTTTATTTCGTATTCAGCCTGTTGTCAAACAAAAAAAAAAACATTCGGTTCCTTCCTTAAAACAATCATTCAATCTACCTGCACGACCAGAACACAGCGATATTGATTCAGACGACACTGTAGGCAACTGAAAATTTCATACACACACACACACCAATCAACCTTATTGTTATATATACTATATGTTTCAATAAAATATTCATTATACTATTTTCATTTTGAACGGTATCATCCTGTATAATAATAACAGTACATCGTATACAGGTTATGAGACATTCTGACCGACCGACCGACCAGAGGAGCCCACCACGCTATTTAGGTCACGCCTTGCTATATACGATTTAACGATATACCGTCGGTCTATCGATCCGCTATTTTTCGATGCACCCCTGTATACACGTTGCCCCCCGTAATCCACGCCAACACCAGACAGGTGCGACATCGGCGCCATCTATGCGCGAGATGCCCAACCCATCAATGGCAGCTGTCCAATGACACATAGATTCCGTTTGGTTTGTACAGCGCCAAACAAATCGGCGCCATCTATGCGCGAGATGCCCAACCCATCAATGACAGGTGTCCAATGACGTATAACAGATGACGTTTTAACGCCATCTATGCGTGAGATGCCCAATGACGCATGACAGGTGTCCAATGACACACAGATTCCGTTTGGTTTGACAGCGCCATCTAGCGGCGGAATCCCCAACTCATGAATTTCGATTACAGATTCCGTCCAACAACCTGTCAATGGCGCGCGACGCCAGCGCCTCTGGTGGCGGATTTTGGAACTACTGAGATCGAATCCCCATAAGACATCTACTCCTGTTTTTTTTTAAATGCTTTCGGAAAGTTGTCATCAATATTTCTTTTTTGGATTTTAATTCCTTTACTGGCTTCCCCATTAACTGGGCAAGACGATTCCAAGCATCTGCAACTTTCTTTTTATCTTTATGGTTAACGTTAACATCTTTGGGGTTCCAGATACACGTTTCGGTCTGGTAATATTCCAAAAACGATAAACTCTCTTCGTTCGACCAGCCACTCATTTTGAAGTCAGAACTAGACGTGCGTTCGTCGCGAGATCACAACGGCTACTAAGCGTGCGCCAACATGTGAACGCGTCGCAAGCGCTTGCCTCAAGCGCCCTTTGATCTGTGTCCAAAAACCGACACTAGACCGGATCGGATACAAGCGTCCACAAGCTCACGCAAGCCAAGCCAAACACCCTCTTTACACGCTTGTGTTTGTGGACGCTTGGCAAGCATGGAAACGTACCTTTAAAATTTTGAGTTGACGGAATTTTATGACTACAGTATATTCAGATAAGAGATAGACCGGATGTAAACAAATGGTTCGGGTGATTTTCACGCTAACGCCGCCGTCTCGACGTAAAACAGGAGCCCTCATTGGTCAATTCGCAATTAAATGCCTATGCCGAGCGGCAGAGCAGTCGTATCAAGGCAGAGTCACATTCAGGTTCAGACGTGTTACGTATGTCGTGTGCATCATTGCAATTTGATATTTCTTTGGACGTTTTCGTTTGTTATCTTATTAAGTGGTTGAGTTTGTCGTTGTTATTGTTATACCTTGTTATTGATTGTTATTGTTATCAACTGCTTGCGCAAAATGCCCAGTAGTACAGATACTGCCGATGAAGTTGTAAACTCCTGTAGTCCACCTAGGAAACGCTCTAAAAAAAGACACCTGTGTGCAGAAATGAAAGAGGTCATTTTGAATATATATAAGATCGAGCGCGAGGAGAACGAGGCATCAACCATCAAAGAAATTGTTGTGAAGGTTTCTCACAAAGTTGGGGTGTGTCGCGCATCAGTGTTTAAAGTGTTAAGACAATACAAAAAAAATCACACCTTTTCTGAGCCAATGACCAGTAAACATCGCAAAAGTATTGTTAAATCATTGGATGAAGCTGATAAGCATGCGATTAGGAGGAAAGTGCATGAATTCTTCTTTAGGAATGAAATACCTACTATAGATAAAGTACTGCAGGAGGTAAATGGAGATACAACGTTGCCAAATTTCAAACGATCAACTTTCCATGCGTTACTGAAGCATTTAAATTTCAAATGGAGAAAACGGGGTCGTAATAGTTTACTACTGGATAGAGAAGAAATTGTGCTATGGAGGAGGGATTATTTAACAAAAATTGGGAAATATAGAAATCAAAACAGGAAGATTTATTACCTTGATGAAACGTGGGTAAACGCAGGACACACTACAAGTAAAGTATGGGTTGATGATTCTGTAACTTCATCCAGGAGGGCCTTTCTAGATGGACTGTCCACCGGATTAAAAAATCCAGCAGGTAAATACGAGTAATAGACAACAATCGGATGTTTTTCAAACCTTGGGAACAAGGTTCTAAACATTAATTCCAGGGGGCAGATAAAACATATTACAAGTAACAAAACTTTTATAACTTTCGATAAAATGCGTGGATGTTTTATTGTCATTTTCATTTGTTAGAACTTTTTTAAGCCATGTTTTTATGTGTTTTCGATATTTCAATAATTTTTTAATATAATCTTAAAATATGTCGAATATTATAAACTTAAAAAAAGTTACTAAGTTTTATATTGTGTACCGTTCCTAATATTTCTAATCATTTTAATTCATACTTTAAGCTTTATAAAGTTATAATTTGTTAATATTAATATTTGCGCGTATTTCAGGTTCCTGATCATTCATTTTTTAAAGGTTTATAACTTTAAATTAAATTGTGAAGCGCTGAGTAATCATACGACGTTCAATATTGTTTCTTTCAATATGACTAAATAATCCCAATTATAGCAATCTGATACTCATGTCTCAATGTTTTTTCGCTGAATGTGATGAAAACATTTGAAAAAGGTTCGCTTATTGAAATAAATCTACACCAGTTAGTACTTCGATTTCCAGGTAGAGGGAAATGGCTCATTATCTGCCATATTGGCAGTGAGGATGGATTTTTTGTTGACGGTCTGTGGTGCTTTGAGTCTAAGAAAACTGGAGATTACCACGAGGAAATGAATGGCGAATCGTTTGAACAGTGGTTTTCAAAAATTTCACCGAACTTAGAGGAAAACGCAGTAATTGTGTTGGATAATGCGCCTTATCATTCTCGAAGAATGGAGAAGGTCCCAACAACGGCTTCAAGGAAAGTTGATGTTCAAAATTGGCTCCGCTCGAAAAATATCAACTTTGAAGAAGCAATGCTGAAAGTACAATTATTAAGAATTTTCAAGGCTCACAAGGCGGAATATCAAAAATACGCCATTGACGAAATGGCAGCAAGTCAAAATAAAACTGTGCTCCGTTTACCTCCATACCATTGCGAGCTCAATCCCATTGAGCTCATATGGGCAGAAGTTAAAATTATATAGCTAAATTATATAGCTAAGCACAATACAACTTTTAAATTTTGTGACCTCAAAGGACTTTTCAAAGAAGCACTAGAATTAATAACAGCGCAAAAATGGGAAAACTGTATTAAGCACGTGAAAGACAAAGTTGAAAACAGAATGTGGGAACTGGACAATATTTTAGAGGAACAAGTCGAGCCATTCATTATTGACGTTGGTGCTTCAGGCAGTAGCGATGATGAAAGCTCATCAAGCTCATCTTTCCAATAAAAGATGTCGTTCATCAAATTCGGTAAGTTATAAGTAATTATAAAGCTACTGTATTTTTTAATTAATTATTGACATTTTTGAACCCATTTTGGCAAAACCTATTCAAGAATCTACTTTCTGACAATGTTCAACCATGCACATTTTTTTACGTTTTGAACGTTTTAATTTGGTTACATATTTACCTAGAAATCAAAAAATATACTAATCAATATTCTAAAAGCAATTTTAAGAGATATACTATTATTCTTAATTTAGGCTAATTTAAACGCCATTTTGAGATTATATTCGACTGTATTTCACCAAACATCAGGCGGCATCCGAAGCTGGAAATCGAAGCGAAAATGTTGAAACCCTTATGTATATTTACATCATTATATATTTCTTACCCCACCCCCACAAGATCCTATATCCATCACCAATCGTATACACATCGAATTGTGCTAATTTACTACAAAGTTACGCAAAGCAGCATCTACTGTCTAAAATATGTACTGCGTGACTCTTAATACGTCCCTGCCGAATGTTACAGCGTTCGATGATCACGTGGTCTTGTTTATGTCCGGTCTATCTCTTATCTGAATATACTGTACTCGATACTGTTTGTGGCGTGTATGTGTGCCAAACAGCGACCAATCGGTCGTATCAGGGGCGAAACCGTCCCAATTGCGAGATAAAAGTCCCGTTATTCCCAGTTATCGGTTTCTCCTCATTATTCGAAAATCCCTGCTCGACCCGAGCACATCCGAATCGAGCCGAACATACTTTTCACTAGAGCAGTCGCCATTGAACGATAGAAGATTGAACGGCCATTTTCATGTGTAGGGAGTGCTCGACGGCTCGAAAATCGCGTTTTATATAATTTTTCTGTACGGAAAAATTATCGAAATCATTAGTTCGTGACACTTATGGCTTGTTTAAATACTCTTAAACACGAAATAAGGACTTTAGAATCGATATTTTCGAAGAACCATGATCGCTTTCAGATCGTCTCTGCCAGTGTTGATGAGTTAAGCTGTAGGTTTATAGGAAAAAACGGTAAAAAATATGCAATCCACGCGAATATTACGGTAAGTACATATTTTAAAGTTCATTGTGTGGCATTAAGCTCAGAATCCTCACGAGACCTTCAAAATATACAGACAAAGACCTTCTTGTCCATCTTGTTTTTTTTTGACATTTAACATATGTAGCCCAGACAGCTGTGTTGGTTGATGTGACAGTTTTAATTCGGTCTTTTCTCTTCGAAGGAAACCTATCCGTCGGTGCCCCCCGTTTGGTTTGCCGACTCGGAAGAAACAAGTATAACAAATGCTGTGCAAATTCTGAGCAACACTGAAGGCCTGGACAACCATGTCCTCCATCAAGTGATCATATTACTTAAGGAACTCTGTAGGTTGCATGCAGTGCCTGAACCCCCTGATTTGGACAGACTGCACATTATCAATTCCCAGACCAATCGGTGAGTCAGTTGCTGTCAGTTTCGCATTATTTTGAGGCTATTGTTTGTTTTGAAGTAGTGCTATTTACATTTTTACTGACACCTGTTATATGAAATGCTTGCACTACCTTATATGACCCAGTTTTATAGAGTTCCTTTAAAAATTGGCTTATATCTCTGGATAGCAAATCAGTTACATAAAGTAGTTTCTTTAACAGCATAATCGAGCAAGGTTAAGATCATTGCTTTGACAATTGTTGAATTGTAAAACATTCAGCACTTTACTCTTATCTTTATATGCCTATGATTTTACTCATTTTTCCTTATAGAAGTTTGAGATATAAGCATAGAATTTTGCACAATATTTATTCAGCTATGTTGAGCATTTAAGATATATTAAGGTATAAGCAACATGGTAATGAATCAGAATATTCTTAGCTACTTTTTCATATGAAGCTGTAGGTTTATAGTGTTTCCTACTGGCATTGTCAGTGTAAACATGTGTGTGTGTGTGTGTGTGTGTGTGTGTGTGTGTGTGTGTGTGTGTGTGTGTGTGTGTGTGTGATGTCTAAGATGGTATCAGCAGAACATGCTTCAAGCAATGTTGCAGTGCTTTTTATAATGCTACTGAAGATAGTTGTATAAACACAAGAGGTGCATCTATCACAAATCATTCAGCAGTTTTAGCACATCACAGTCATTAGACACACACCATGACAAATGATTATTTGTTGGTTCTTTGATATCTCATTATTTGATTGGTATCATTTTCTGCTACTACCACTAACCATTTCAGCCCATTAATTTTGAGAAATTTTAGTAAAGTGGTCCAAACTGGTAGCTTATTTTATGCCTAGAGGAATCGCATCCACTTAACCCTACATAACACACTTAAATCCACTTACCTAAATTGAAATTTAGAAGGTGAAGGTACAAGAATAATATTGATTCAAAAGCAGCAGTTACAAAACAGTGGCATAACTAAAACATAAAATAAAGATATAGGTGCATATTGCGATTATAAAAGCATGGAAAAAAGTAATTTAGATATTTAACATGATTCATTACTATAGTGGGCAATTGAGCAAATGTCTGAACCAGTAGAAAATGCTATTAGTTGTTTCCAGATAAATGTTTCTTGTCTTGAACTTCTGAACATAATGCTGAACCACCACAAATTCTTAGTAAAAGGTTAGAAGTTTATAACTGAGAAACTAAACATATTCCGTTATCTACCTATTATTTCAAGTTACAAAGTAAGCTTTTCTCAGTTGCTAAAAGGTCAGGGAAAGTTTTTTTGATTTCTTCAAAACATATTTTTTCTGGTCTTTCTACAAATATGGCATCATTGGTTATGTCGACTAGAACTCAATAGCTCAAGCAAAGTGTTATTCAGGTGATGGTTTATTTAAATAATTTGTCGATTTGATTTTGATTTTTTTGGCTAAGCATTGAAACTTTTAATACCATATATTCACCCATACATGAAATGTGTTTAAAATCTCATGTAGATTTCAGAAATTGAATAATATACAGGGTGTTCCATTTAAAATAAGCACATTGCTATCTACTTCCCATAAAACTGGAAATGCCACCTTTTTGAAAATATATTAGTCGAATTTGTCACATCATCTGTATCACAATCAAAGGTTTCATGATTGTCTAACATCAACTTTTTGAGTAATCTGCTGCAGTTATATGTGATTGAAATAGATTTGGCAGCAAATCTGATACACTTGATTTTTCAAGGTATGATTATCATGCTGACTCAGTACTGCTAAAAAAAAATGCATCTGATTGTTTGCAGGGATGCTACTAATAGTGCCAGCTGACAAAAATATATAAACAAATATAATAAATAATATCCTAACTACTTCTGAGGGTAAAGGAAACAATCAGGGAAAACAACTGTAAGACTTTCTACTGAAAAGTTTAGCATGCAATGAAGATGTGTTGATATGGACTTGAAATTTATAAGTAAATTAAAGCCTATATATTAGAACATAATTCTTGGCCTGCATTATTTGCATTAAAATATTGAAGCATAGCAACGATATTTATTATATATCCGTTGAAGTTTGTTTAACCATTTGGATAGTCTATATAAATAAATAAATCCACATTTGTTCATAATTGCATGAGAAATTGCGTATAAAAGAATGTGCCCTAAATGGTTTTTATTTATCCAAAACATGGAACATTCAGTATGTTTTGTATTGTATTTGTTCTTTAATGACTTATAATAGCATAATTTATTCCATTATACTTATCTGGTAACATTAACCTCTCAAGTATGCACTTATTTACAATACTCTTTTCTATAAGTTATCAATTCTCTAAAGATATGCATTGACTGATAGGAGATGTAAAGTAGAATGTACAGTATATTTCCAGAAAAATACTCGTTTGTATGAGTAATATGAAGATTTTAGAGTAAATTAATATGTTTTCATCACTTATTAAAATCAGTTTTATTACATGCACATTGATATTATGCAAAAAATGTGTAGATATGTCATTCTGTAAATTAGTGCCTCTGCCACTTATTCATGCATAACAAAACTGATAATATTGATTGTTTAATCAATGCAAAAATCTGCATAAACCATTTGTAAATACAAATAGTATTGAAATAACTATTTGATAAATTGCAAATTTTTGGAAGTGCTAAAGTTATACAATACCGATCTTTTAGAGTATGGATATACATATAGGATGCTCTAGATATTATTTTATATAAAAATTGGCTGAAGTATTAAGTTATTTAAAACATGTTTTTATCACACCCTTATATTTTGCATAGAGATGCCAACAATGTATTATGAGATAATTGCTAATTTTTTTTTTCACATAAGGGTTATGCAATCTTATATATTTCCTTAATGATAATGAAAAATGAGTTTTGTTATTAATGAACTAATTGTAGTTCATACTGATATTGTAAAATTGATGAAATGCTGGAACCTTGAACATAAGTGGTGCAAGTAACCTACAACTGGTTTTTCATACTGGTTTGTAGCTTTGACCTCACTTTTGAACTCAATATCTCCAAGAGTTTTCTGAAACAGTTGATTGCACAAAATTATAAATGGTTCATTAGCATGGGTGAGGAATAAATTTCGGACAGTGAAGCCTAGTTTTTAACATCATCTGGTTTTAATCTTATCTGGGTTTCTTACTTGAACCTGTCCTAATAATAATAATAATTTATTGATGTTAATACACAAAAGTGTTTGCACAGGTCAGTATAAAAACGCTAAGAGAATATTTAGTAACAACTAGATAAGACATGAAAAAAGAATTACAGTTGAAAATAAACTGGAGTTCTGCATAACGCATAATTGTTAAACGGAAAAAAAATTATAAAATACAACAAACTGTACATGTACAGACAAACAAATAAACCAAATACAACCTTTTTAAATATTCATCTATTATGAAAAATGCCTTTCCTATTAAGTAATCTGTCAGTTTCCCCTGGAAAACGTCAATATCTATAATTCCACATTATCAGGCAGCCTGAATAAATTAAATGCCATGAAAATGTATGTGAACTCAGATTTTTCTAGGCGGTACTTAATGCGAGAATTATGGTCATCACTGTTTTGTTTTGTTTTTGGAATGTCACACATCCCAACATATATCTGATCCATGTACCCATTGTCCTTCTGTGGATTAAAACATATTTATTCGCCCATTCTATATTGTTCTTATATTATGGAATAAATAAATATCTTACTACTACTGCTGTGAGTGTTGAATGAACTAATATAATTTTTAACATATAAGAGTCAACTCAAAATATAAACGCATGGAAGGGTTAGTATCCTCAATTTAATAAATTCAGCCTTGCAGTTGCCTCTATTTTTCAAACCAGAGATGTAACCTTTGCATTCCAAACACTTTTTGCATATATGGAGAGCTATAGCTAAAAATTAAGCCTATTCTAGAAAGGAATTGTCTAGAAGGATTTTATTACCAAATTGAATTCTTTATTCTTGATTGTAAATGATAAGGTCCTCCATCTACAGAAACAAAAAAATTGGCTATGTAATTTTTATTAAACTCCAAAGGTGAAAAAAATCCTCTTTCCATGTATACAAAAGACTGTGAAGTATCGGTGAAAGTGGTTTGGAAAAACGCTGTTGAAAACTAGGCTAGCTGAAAGTTCATTTCCATATTTCCCTAACATAGAAAACACAAATTTGTGTGAAAGTGATTATGTCATTTAGCTGCTAATATGAATTCCCGGTACAAAGAAAAGCGTTAGGTGCGGCACTCTTCGTCATATGTGCCCTGCCAGCAACCCATTTCACATCTGTCTCGGGAAATTGTTGGTTGTCTAACAAAAAGCAAAATTCACACGAAATAGGTCATTGGGTGGTGCAGAATTGAATATTGGCCGAGAGCGAAGTGCATAGTGAGATAACTAACTGCATCTGTCGCCGTGTATGGGCTTGACAAAAAGGGAAACAGCATCGGACTGGTATGGTGTCAACTGAGATCTGGCAAAGGTGCAATATTTCGCTGTAATCATTAGTCAGATCAAAAGTTGTCAGTTTAAAATTGAAATTGCTCCTAACTTCAAGTTACTAAATGCCTGTTATCTTCAACAATATCCACAGGCACAGATCTTTGCTCGTACAAAATGCTTACCACGAGGCTAGTGAAATGGTGAGCACTGATTGCACAAGTCGATGGTTGTAGGGATTACCTATACAACAATAAATGAACCGTAGCTTTATCGAAAGTGGGCTTGGGGCGTAAGATACGGATCAGTCTTCGTGACTTCTGCATGCAATGTCACTATTTAACATACAAACTTTCATCCTATGGCCTCCCAGAGAAGCTTTGCAGATGGATGGCTGACTTTCTCTCTGGCCGTAAGATATCCTCCGTAATTGACTGGTTCTTCTCTTCATCCCACGACGTCAACGAGGGTGTTTCCCAGGGATCGGATTGGCTCGACACTGTTTCCCTTACATATCAACGACCTCCTTTCCTGTAAGATCAATCCAATCCGCAACTTTGCTGATGACAGCACTTTACATGCAGGAATACAGAGCGACAAGCCGATCTCTGCCGGTATGCTGGAGAAGACTACCAGCGACTTCCTCTCTGACGAGAGCTCTGGAGGTTATTCCTGCTTGGGGACGCAACAATCTTGTACAGGTTGTACTGGTTTCGATGGACGGGTGAGCTCCGCCAAGGAGCCGTACTTTTCGGCTGGTCGGGGTCCAGATCATCAAGGACTTGATCTGGCACAAACACATATCTTCAAAGCGGCAGCTGCTGGGAAAAAGCTAGGCTATTTATTTAGGGCTAAGAAATACTTCTCTCCACATGGCCTCCCTACTCTATACACCGCCCAGTTAAGACCTAGCCTCGAGTATTGCTCACACGCCGCCCCGACTACATTATTCATACTCGATGCTGTCCAGAGGAGGGGTCCGACCGATCGATGACTCTTCTCTAACAGACAGTCTCTGGTACCCTTTCGCACCGGCGAGTCGTCGGCGATGTATGTCTCATGTACCGCTACACCAACGGGCTTTGCTCTTCAGAGCTCTCCTCCATGATGCCGCCGCGCGATGTGGCTGCCAAACAGATGCGCTTGACTTCGGCCTCTCATCCTAACCGTGTCGAACTTCGTACATCCGGAACTGGTCGATACGACCATCCTGTGTCGAGATTGTGAAACAACCTACAAGAGGAGGCGTTTCCGAGTTCTTCTAACCTTAGGCAGTTCGAAAATTGGATTAACAAAGTTTCTTTGGGATCCCCATAGCGACCGCGGTGTCCTGGTATTGAGGCTTCTGCCTGCACGGCTGCTTCGGTTTAAAAATTGATCTTATACCCATTCTTGTGTAACAGTATAACGACCAGATCATCGACCACGTCCGAGCCGATGGAGGATGAAGGTCTGGACAGCGATGCAGGCGGCAGCGACGCCGAAGAGGACGAAGACGAAGAAGAAGTTGAAACTGATGATGCCGACGAAGAATTGGCCATGGATATGGAGGAGGGCAGGCCCAAAGCGGACGAGATGGGTGTCGAGCACTTGGCTACACTTGAAAGGCTCAGGCAGAACCAGAGACAGGATTATCTCAAGGTAAGCTCATCTATGCATACTAATAAAAAATATATAGCGATTACACACAAAAGGAATTATTTCTATAATATTATTGACCTGAACCTGAGCGAAGCGAAGTTAACTCTGAAATTTTGGGCTGATACGTATATATCTCACGCGCAAATATTAGGTTCCTATGAAATGATTGTAAACTGGAAGGCATTCATAACGAACCTTTTATAAAACAATATTTTCCCACACGAACCATAAAATCAAAGCGTCGGACAGATAAAATTCAGATAAAAGATCAGTTTGCCGATCTGTTTTTGATAAACTTTTGAGCAGTCACCATCGCGTATCAAATCAGATGACACATGGGGAATGGCTTTTGGCTAATCCTGTTGAAAATCCAGTATGTCATAGGTCTCAAAATGTAGAACAAAAGTGTCCATGTGCCCAAACTTTTTCCACGAGTACTTTCCAAGATACAGGGCATCTGTATCCTATTACAGCATATTGTGGGTGCGGTACGCAATATATAATTATTGTTTGATATTTGTTTACATTCTTATCATCGTCCCTTCTAGCCAGTTCACCAACCTTGCTGTTCTATCACGTGACAGGATGATCCATGCAGGGAATATTTCTCTGAAAAACAAACTTTTCCAGAAGCTGTTGAGGATTATTCTGTACATTTCAAAAATTTTCAGGATTATTCATTGTATCCCAGTACTGAGCTGCGTATCAAAGTTGTTTTACTTCCGACGCCACTATTGTAATCGCGATAATTTCGAAAATGAGATATTATTTTTGGATGCTATGACGTGCATATCATGAAAGACCATGTCTCATTTTCGTGAGTCTGTCTGCCAATGCTATAACTTGAAAAGTACCTCTCGGAGTTGGATGACATTTTCACACAAGGTCACTGCTATGCCAAGGACGAAACAGCTTTGTAGTTTTTCGAAATCGCTCCATTAGCGGCGGAGCTACGGGGAAAAACGAACGCTTGTGAGTTTGGGGGTGGAAGCTTTCAAACGTAGATGAGAAAATAACAGATTTGATAGATTGGTAACCTATTTTTCACGTTTTGACGTCTGTTGACGTAAACAGCTGATCAGCAGTTGAAATGTTTTTCTGGTCGTAATCTTATGTATGACGTATGTGACAGCCCAGTCTAAGTATCGCCATCTGATTCTAGCTTTTCAGATTACCACATTTCCAACATTTTTCTCTTTTGGTACGTGCCTTATACAATTCTGCCACATGTCAGCACTTAATTGCCTCTTCCAAAATGATACAAATATCCATCATTTAGAGAGTAGTGTTGTTACGTGCTACTTCATTTTTTATTTGAGTCTATATAAACTCAACTGTATTTTATCAATTGCTAATAATTTTGTGAACTGGCCTTTATGTTGACCCCCAATTTGCATCAACTCTGCGTTGAGCATTGATAGGTCACATGGTATATTTTTGACACTAGCCAATTATAAATTTTTAGTTTTCACTATTTTGAAGTAGGGGATTTACTGTACGTCGACTGTAGTACGAAGCATTATCTAACACAATCACTGAATCAGGAACTAATTTAACCAACACTGACTTGAATCAATCTTCTGTGTTCATATCCCTATGATAGTCCCCAGCTTTGCGTGATTCGAAAACGCTCAGTCCCCCATCGACTAAGCTTGAATCGCCACCATTTGAGTTACAATTAATTTACGACCCCTGCCTGTATGACGTTTAAGACCGATCACGATACGCCTGTTTATAACATGCAATATTCAGATCGTGCCAAAATTTAGAAACCGTGTGATCTTCATTCAACCATATCTTATCCAAATAGTAAATTTTCTGCATTCCCTTACGCGAATACTACGATTATTTTGAGTTCTCCTCGCCACGTTATTATGTCGTCCCTTTCGATTAACGCGCAGCTCCTCTTCTATTTCAAATATCTGATATATACAGTACATGTTATTTTTGGACGATTATTTATATTATTATCGTTATTATAAAAGGCACGCTTCATATTTTTTTATTGTGGTTATTTCCCTTTCCAAATAAACTGATTGTTCTGGAAATCATGTACGGAATGCGTCATATACATTTTTTACTATATTTCTTTCTCCGTAACATAAAACATAACGTTTATTGTATTTATAATAAACTACCCGTGTTGATCCATCTTTTATTACCCATCAACTATCGAAACCTCCCAACTCACCCCCTTTTCGATTATTTGCGCCAGCTGACTGACACTGAATAGAACAGGTGCATTTGTACGTCCTTTGTTTTTGTTTTTTTTTTTTTTTTTTTTTTTTTTTTTTTTTTTTATTTTTTTAACGAGGGGGGAATGCATTTACGCACCATACCATAGCACGAGCTACGACGTGTGTGGGGCTCCAGGGTCTTGAAGAGATCACCTAATACCCACTAAACCCTAAACCTCCGCGTGGCCCGACTCATCAGCGTCTCGGTAGGCCATGTGTTGTGCGTGACCTGCGGTCTGCTACAACGTCTCCTCATGTGTTTCAGTCTCTGGGAACGCCGGGTTGGTTCCCTTTACCTCGCACATTCTATCGATGTCGTTAAGCGATCATCGATAGAGGGTCTGCTAGTTTCTCTTGAAACTCTTGTTTTCGAAAAATCAAGAGTTTCAAGTCATCTTACCAATATGTTGTTCCTGGTCCTGGTCCTGGTGGGTCCTGGTCGTGGCGGGTCCTGGTTGGTCCTGGTCCCGGTGGTTCCTGGTCCTCTGCATCCACGCCGTGGGGGGGGGGGAGCAGCCGCAAATTCTCCTAGTCTCCTAGTCAAGGTTCCAGTTAGCGGGTGCCAACTGGGACCTTGGTCTGGGGTACCTGGTTCTGCGGTTGCGAGGCCTCTCGTCCGGATCGTAGTCCATGAGGAATCGTAGCTGCTCGTTCGGGTGGTCCTGAGCTTTCTCGAAGGTCTTCTCCGCTTTTTTCCTCATGTACTCGTGGATGGTATCCCAATGCAGGTCTCTACGCAAGGTTGAGTTCCTTACGTAGGAAGGTGCATTGGTGGCGATCCGGAGTAGCTTCATCTCTAGAGCAGCAAGTCGCTTGCGGTAGCTGGGGGCAGCGTACCCCCAGACCGCGGAGGCGTAAGCGAGCTGAGGTCTGGCGATGGCCTTGATCAGCCGTAGCTTGGTCGCTAGCGGCATCTGGCTGTGTCTACCCAGTAATGGATAGAGTTGAGCCATGGCTGCTCTGGTTTTTGCGATGACAGCTTCTATGTGCGCTTTCCAGGTGAGGGACTTGTCAAAAACGATCCCCAGATATTTGACATTGTCGCTCCACTGGATATCTTCATCGAAGATGGATGCTTCGAGAGGTCTTGCAATCCTTCTTCGTTGAATGAAGATTGCCTGCGTCTTCTGGACGTTGATGCGGATTTTCCATTTCACGCACCAGTCCTGAATTTGGTCCAGTTCACCCTGTAGTCTCCTACGGATGATCTCGGGTCGTCTATGCTTGGCGGCTATAGCAGTGTCGTCTGCATATAGGGCCAGCATTGTGTCAGCTGTCTTCGGCACATCGTAAGTATAGATGTTGTAGAGCAGGGGGGCTAAGGCTGACCCCTGGGGCACGCCTGCTTCCAGCTGACGTCTTGTTGAATGGCATGTACCAATCTTCACCGTGAACCATCTTTGTGTTAGATAGCTCTGGATCAGTTGGCACATGTTCGCATCGATTCCGGCGGCTTCCATTTTGACGATGAGTCCATCGTGCCAAACTCGGTCGAAGGCTCGTTCCACGTCCAGCAGGACGAGACCGGTTGCCTCCTGGAGATTGAAGCCGCTGGTGATGTTTTCCGTCAGTCGTAGCGCTTGGAGTTCCGTGTTGTGGGAGGATCTGAAGCCGAATTGCTCTGGGGGGAGAAGTTGCAGTTCTTCTGCCTGCTTCTCTAGTCGAACGGCGATAGCCTTTTCGACTACTTTGCCCACCGAGGAAACCAGGCTGATGGGCCGGTAGTTCTGGGGCAACTTCCGGTCCTTGCCTGGCTTGGTGAGCATTATAACCTGGGCTTCCCGCCACCGCCGCGGGAAGTGGTTAAGTCTCAGAGTGGCATTGGCGATGTTGGTGAGCGCAGCAATGCCTTTGGTGGGAAGGTTCTTCAGCATCCTATTGTTGATGCCGTCCCTTCCCGGCGCCTTTCTGACCTTCAACCTGCGGATGATCAGACGGATTTCCTCTGGACTGGAGGGGTGATCCGTCTCCTGGCCAGGTGGTCGACTCCTCATGTTTTCGGCTGCGACTTCCACGGCCTCCTCGTGGTTGTCGTCCTCGTCTTCATGGTAATTGAGTCTGCATTCGGATTCTAGCGAATCGGCGAATGCTTCGGCTTTTTCTTCACTGGAGTAGGCCAAGCCGCGTTGGCCGTGAAGAGTGGGGATCGTGGTGCGCTGACGACGAAATTTTCGCTGCATAGACCAGGCCGTACCATCCTGGGTCTCTAGTTCTGCACAGGCTGCATTCCATCTGTTGTTTTGGAGTTCCGCGAGTGCGTTCTTCAGAGCTAACGATGCTCTGTTTCGCGCAACTCTCGACTCCTCTGTCAACAGCTGGAGATGTTCTCGCTTGAGTCTTCTGTTCTCCCTGATCAGGTGCCTAATATGGTGCGGTGCTGGACCATTTAGGTATCTAGGAACTGCCGTAGTCTCGGAGCGGGTGCTGTCCTCGTGCGCTCGCAGGACAGCATTCTCCAGCTCCTCTACTGCGTTGTCCAGTTCCTCCGCTGATCGGATGGTTGGAATTTGAGTGATGTTCCTCTGGACGTTGGATTTGTAAAGGTTCCAGTTCGTCCGTTTGGTGCTCAAGCTATCTCGAGTTCTAGACCCTGTACCAAGTGTTAGTAGAATCGGATTGTGGTCCGACGATCCTTCCACCAGGGTCTCTATCTCGAACTCCTCTCTGATGTTGCGGAGGATGGCTATGTCCAGTACCGCAGGTCGCCCAAGGCCGAATGGAATGTAGGTTGGTTGCTCCGGACCGACGATGACCCCCGCCAGG